GACCACGGGCAGGGGTAGGGAGGGCTCACAGTCTCACCAGGACAACTTCTGGGAAACGGTGTGTCTGAGACAGGTTGAACTCCAGGCTTGAGTGGAGCAGAGACTCCAAGGGGAGGCCTCAATGACCATGGAGGCAGTGAGGGGTGTGTGTGTGCATGTGTGTGTGCACATCTGTGTGTGTGCACGTGTGTGTCTGCATATGTGTGTGTGCACATGTGTGTCTGCGTGTGTGTCTGCATATGTGTGTGTGTACATGTGTGTTGAGCTGAAAGGTCCGACTAGGGGTTCTGAGTTGAATATGTACACAATGGGGTCTCGCTATAATTTCCCACCCATGCTTTGGGAGCTGAAAATAGCTCATTCTGCTCCTGACTTCTCCAGCCCTTCAAAATATAAATATAAGTTTTGGCGTAGATGAGGCCCTGGGACATCATTTCTCCTTGAAGACGCTTTCAGACTATTCTGATGAGAGGACTTTGTAAACATTTCGGATTAATTGATATTTAAGAAAAATTGTGCTCAGTTTAGAAGGACCAAAATTTGATATCTTCTGTTGAGCTTTAATCACTGCCTATAAATGGTTTGTATTGTTTTTAAAGATGTTGCCAGGTAATTAAACTATTAATACGTCATCAACAATTAAGATCTATAGGAACATATGTCATTCCTCGTACAGTTAATGTAAATTAAAAATATGTAGATGGGGCTGGGTATGGTGGTTCATGTCTGTAATCTCAGCACTTTAGGAGGCCGAGGTGGGTGGATCATGGAAGGTCAGGAATTCGAGACCAGCCTGGCCCACATGGTGAAACCCTATCTCTACTAAAAATACAAACTTAACCGGGTGTGGTGGCACACACCTGTAGTCCCAGCTACTTGGGAGGCTGAGGCAGGACAATCGCTTGAACCCAGGAGGCGGAGGCTGCAGTGAGCCGAGATTGCACCACTGCACTCCAGCCTGGGCGAGGCAGAGCAAGACTCCATCTCAAAAAAACAAAAACAAAACCAAAAAACTGTAGATGGACTTGCCAGGTACCGTGTGGGCAGAGGGCAGTTACGAGTATCAATGGCACACAGGTGCCAAGAAGGACGGGCTGGGTAGGGGAGGCTTCCTGGGTGAGCAGAGGGCAAGAGTGGCCTCTAAAGAAGTGCAGACACACAGGGGTCAGGCCTGGCGGGGCGGGCCTAGCTAGTGGTCTGTAGCTGGATATGGTGGGTGGTGTTAGTGTGCAGATGCTCTTCAGTGTGGCAGAGACCCTGAGGAGAGGGCTGGACCATGAGGATGGTGAGATGTGTTGTATGCTGAGAGGAGCCGGAAGCACAGACTAAGGATTCTGGACTGAAAATGGCAGACAACTGATTCTTTTTTTTTTTTTTTTT